ATCTTAGATCTTAGGAGGAGACTACTGAGGTGGGATCTTAGATCTTAGGAGGAGACTACTGAGGTGGGATCTTAGATCTTAGGAGGAGACTACTGAGGTGGGATCTTAGATCTTAGGAGGAGACTACTGAGGTGGGATCTTAGATCTTAGGAGGAGACTACTGAGGTGGGATCTTAGATCTTAGGAGGAGACTACTGGCTACCAGTTTTTCTCGACTCATCAACACCAAGTTGTTCCCGCGTTGACCAGTTGCTGACTACATGATAAACAAATATTCTTGGCCGAGTAGAACAAGCCACAGACAAGTCAGCCCCCCCCCCCCCCCCCTATATATCAGACCTGCCACTCTATGAAATCTAAAAATCAGGATTAAGAGTTAAAAAATCAGGATTTAAGAGTTAAAAAATCAAGATCTGGTGAAACAAATCGGGATCAACGGCAAACCAGTCATAAAGGGTACTGGGGAAGGGGGTTCCTGGTTCCCTTTTCTGAGACAAGTACGCAAGAGAAAACTTGCCGGAATAAGTCCACGTTTGGGCCTCTTCATAAAGGGAAAACTGAAAGACAGCATTACTCGAGTCGGAGTCGGATAGACTGGGGCAGCACAGGTTGCAGTAAAGCTGAAACTCTCTTTTTCTTGAAAAGAGCTGACACATAACTAATCATCCATGCAAAAAGCCCGTGTTTTCATACAGTAACGTTTGACTTCCATCGCATATATACACTCAAGGCACCCCACCCACCCCCGGAAAAAAAAGATCGCGCCAAGGTTGTTCATTTATTTCTTTTTTCTTATTCCTTTGTCCTCAATTAGTAGATTCTACTTGTATCACGGCACGCACTTTAAGCCCAAGTGTCAAAACAATACCCCCCCCCCCCCCAGTCGTCCACACTGGTTAAGTCCCGAAAAACACCTCGACCAATGCGACCGGCGTGAATTAACTTTGTTGACCCCGACAGCCAACGGTCCCCGACACGCGTTACTCACACGTACGAGGTCATGTCATGTGATGCGAATGAACCTTTGAAAGTTCCACTGACAGGTCTTGATGATGGGCCCGACTAACCAAAACTCAGACAAAGCTTGCTTTTAAACCAACGGCAGAACAACGGATAGATTATGTTACAGTAATCAGGACAGTCGGAGAATTCTGGGTTATAAAAGCGAAAGTAGATCATGAGCGTATCCATGTCGGAATTCAAAATCGATACTACGTCGATTTTAGTTGAAATAACGTGCGTGATTCATCTACTAGATTCGGTATAGATGCTTTAGAAAATAGCGTTCCCAGTTCCTGCCGATCAAAAACCCAATCGGTGCTTCCAAGCAAAAGAGATTGCAGAACTTTTTTTTTTTTTTTAAAGAATCGGACGCAACAGACACAACAACAAAAAATCAGGATACTGGCGATCGAAATCGGGAAAATCGGGATGCTTGAGATTTGGGGGGAAAAATCGGGATACAGTAGTCTCCGCCTAAGACCCCGGTGCTCGGGAGCAAGAAAAAGCGGGATCTTAGGCGAACCGGGATCTTAACCGACGAACCCAGGGAAGAATCTATGGTGACCCATGTTAAGGCTCACAATAGGTAAAATGGTCTCCCTCCACTCTAAAATGAACTGACGTGACCGCTTGGTGGGTTTATGATGTATGGCGAGCAAAGAGTGGTTAACCTTGATGACCTATCACAGTGCATAGTGGGATGAGGCGTGCCATTTTCACTTATTATCCTATCATGAGGCTCAAGATCTACGCTTATCAAGTTGCCCCTCCCCTCCCCCTTACCTGTCGAAAATGTATAGCTTTCCATCTCCCCCAACCGCCTTTGTCGTTACACACTATTACGTTGTGAACACACCAATCAGTCTGTCTCGCAAATTCGGGAGTAGAAACAACTTCTCCAATGGTCAGGGAAGAGTTCACAGTTCAATGTGATCCCGCCAGGAGCGAACGTGTTGGCCCTACCCACCCAGCGAGTGATGTAAGTTTAGGGGGATAGCTCAGGTGTGAGTGAGATGTTCGGGGAAAACAAACGCGTCGGTCAGTTCACACCCCGGTGTGATCCCGTCTGGGGCAAACATTGTATCGCTTCATCGAGTTTTACAACGTGTACGTGATCACATTCACGATAGTAGCTGATCTTTGACGCCACGGACAGTTTATTGATCTCAAATTTTCACTCTTGGTTGATCGACTGTCCCGCCCGGGGTTTTTTCCCGCAAATTATGATCTGAAATGCGGGACCTTCAGAGTGAATCAGAGCGGGATCTTAGGGGTGACTTTTGTATAGTAAAAATTCTGTTTTCTTAAAACAGCGGGATCTTAAGCGAACCGGGATCGTAAGCGGTGGGATCTTAGGAGGAGACTACTGTATCACGATTCGATTAAATCGAGATGAGTGGCAGGTCTGTATATATACATATATATATATATATATATATATGTGTATATATATATATATATATATATAT